CTGTAGCCTCCCCACTACCAAAACCTTGCACACAATACAGGCAGTGAGGAGGCAAAGTGTGACACTGGAGGGGGGCTTTAAAGGAGATCCTACAACTGATGGATGCTCTGAAGAATAGGAGTGTGCAGGAAAACAAAATGTAGTAGTTATAATATTTTTTTAAAATCAGAGAAAGGAAAAAGTAATGTATTAAAACAAATGGAAACCAGATCTCATTACATTTAGGCATTAGAGTCTGTAATAATGACTCTGATAACTCTGTGCTATTCCTGTACTGTGACAGAGGCAGGTGAGGTGGCAGAAATACTGACATCTACCTTAAACTCTTTTGTAAGTTGTTTGTGTTGTTTCTTTCCCTTGGGGTGAACTTAGATGTAAAATAGATAACTCTCCAGTTCTTAGGTGCCTGGTCCCAGTGGTTGCATCTACTGCTCTTAGTCAGCAAATGAAGAAGCTCGAGAAGGTAATTGCAAACACCAGGATGCTGAGCAAGCACCACCAGCCTAGCCAACACAGAAGGGCTAAAAGAAAGGGTAATGCCAAAATCCATGGAGAAGGTCAAGATTTAGGTATCTGTCTTTCTTAAGGACTCCCAGCCTGTAGCCCTCTCCTGAAAGCAGGCATTTAAGCTCTCTGTAAAGAGCATGGTTTCACTCTTTGGAAACGTACCTGCTGGTACTGGGCCTTGCTGTGCAATAGTCCTGTTATACACAGAACCCTCAGAATGTGCAGTCCTGCAGACTCCGGTCTCCCACCAACGTCTCCCTTTCTGTAGGCCAGTGAATACAGATGTTTTTCTTAAAGATGGAGCACCTCCAACACAACAGTGCTCTCATGGCAAGACAAGCTGGGTGGGTACCGTGATCTCTGGGCAGTTGCAGAAAAGTCAGCGGCCACCTCCTTTGCTGGCCTCATTTCAAAGGGAGGTGGGCATACTTGCAACTTGTGTGGAGCTTCTTCCAGCAAGTGAGTGAGAGAGGAGAGGAGACACCCACGTTAGGGCCTGCAGCAGGGCTGGTGTGTGCTGCCTTGGTGCCACCATGACTGCAGTGCTTCGTGGCAGCGTGCAAGCCGAGATGTCCATCGTGTTGAAGTGGAAACATGGAGTTTGGGTTGCTTTTAGGGCTAGGCAGCAGCTGAGGAAGGCAATTTAAGACACATCATAGTAGACTTCAGTGCCTTACTTGTGCTGTGCCTCACTTAAGCACCTAAGTGTTTTCTTGGCTTTGGCCCATGTGTGCATTTAGGCAGACTCTGTTGTTTCTGTCAAGGTCATATTTGCATGACACAGCACTGGAGTTACCTCTCTTTATTACTACTGATCTGTGGTCTGTTTCTGAGGCATAAATCACTTACAAATAGGATCATAAGTTGTGCCCAACATAACAGTCTGGGTAGTTAATATGCATTTACCAGTGCAATTTCTCTCTGAGACTCTGGAATAGGCGCCTAATGCCTTGCTAAAGGCAGAACTCCAGTGAGTGCTTTCAGAGACAGGTATTTTAGCTATTAATGATACACAAGTCAGTGATTACACTGTCTCAGAATGCACGCTGTGAAAAATACATTACTCAGCTGTTTAATCAGACTCCATAAGAGGCAAGATAGGGGTTTGCTTCTCTGCTACTGGGGAGACAAGACAGGTAAGAAACACAGCGGTGGGTGCAGTGCTAGTTATAGGTGGGCTGTGCCATCTGTGGCTGGGTCACTCGGTGACTCGCCCGCAGAGGCCATTGCACTGAGGCCCAAGGGAAGGGTCAGCCAGGTCCTGCCCTGCTGGATGAGGGGCCTGGGGATAGTAGGGACCTTCACCCCACCAGTGCTACCTGCCACCTCTTTATTGGGAGGTGCCTCAGTCCAGGTGAGGCAGGATTTGCGGTGTCCTGTGACACTCTCTGTTACATGGATGAGCTATGTATTTACCTGGTCGGGGTGCTGGTTGGACCTTACTCTTATGTGAGCCTCTGGAACTCTTATGTGGCTTTCCCCGTGCTTGTCTAGGGAGGATGTCAGCACCAAAGCCCACATGTTGGGCAGGAGGCACCTGAGCCTGCCATCTGCATGACTTGTGTCCCTTCACATACCTGGGCTTCCATTGGAGGGACCAGAATACAGTGTGGGACAAAGCCCAGGCATGGCTGGAACCATCCCAGTGCTACTTTGCAGTCCTGGCAAACAGCCCCTCAGCACATGGGCTGGGCTCCCCAAGGGAGACCTGCTCCTGCAGCACTTAGGTGTGCTTCCTGCTTTCCAAATACGTGTTTGTTTTTAATTTAACTGAGATGCCATTAGAAGTATCTGTCATATCTACAAACCCCGAAAAACTGAATGGCCTTTGACCTTGCTGCAATTACTGTGATGGGGTTGGATTAACAACAAGAACAGCCATGATTTAAACTGGCCCAGTGAGTCCTTAATTGCAAACTAAATCCAATACAATCCACTCCTGCCCCCCGTTTGGTCTTCTCCATGATCAATTTACCAGACTGCAAAGAAGTAGGAACCAACCATTCATTGTTAAATCTCCATCCATCGCAATGGCAGATGTCATCTTGATTTAGCCTTTATTACAATACCTTCCATAGTTTTGCTGGTGCAGAAATACCAGCTGATAGTGATAGGCTGACAGATTACTTTCCACTCCATGGCAGTCAGATAAAATGACCTTTGCACTGTCCAGATTGCCTGTTGCTGCAGTGCAGTAGCTGCGCCAGCCATCAGTACCATGCACCACTGAAAGAGGGTGTTAAGTTCTTCCGCGGCTTGTTAGCGAGCAGATTTCTGTGCTGTAATAGTTACTGGAAACTGTCTGAGAGTTGCACTTGTCCAATGGTATAATTTGGACATTTTCCATAACATTTTGCTTATCTTAAAATTTGGAACAAACCCACAATTTCAGAGAACTTGCAGTGCTGTTGGTTTTTACAATAGTTTGTGTTTTTCTGAAAGTCACAGTTCCTGGAACCATTACTGACTTTGTTCAAAATCTCTTAAAATACATTTCCAGTCTTAATAGGGACAAAAACAGAAGTAAGAGAATGTGACCTCCAGAGACAAAACACAGATGACAAATTGAAGAAAAAAAAAAAAAGCCCTCAACACAATTTTTAAAAGTCAGCTTCATGATTATAAGCCAATTTAATGGTGGTAGCAGTTGGCATTACAAGGATTACTGACAGGCTGTGGTTGGCAATGCTCATTTTTCACTTATGGATTAATAACTAATTTGGTGTCATTAGTGCAAAAGAACCCCACCAAGAGCAATTTTTAAGTCAGCTGCTAATTGCCTTTGACAACAAATTATTCAAATTATCCAGTTATCTAAAGACTTGTGGACTGTAGGACAGAAAATACAGAAATTCCTCTAGTTTCAGTATTTTATATAATGTGCCATTATCTGATAAAGATTTGTAGCACTAAAATCTTGTCTCTATTTTGGACTAGCTTCCTGCAAGCCTTTTTCCTCAGGATATGCCGCATATCTCTGCCCTGTGTGTGTTTTTGGTGACCGTTATCTAGATAAGCAGAAGTGGATTGGATTCCCGCTCTGTTTATTCATCCCCCAAAAAGGCTGTGTGCAGCTTTGAAGCAAGTCTTTGTGCCTGGATTCGGGCTGTGCTTCAGCATTGCAGGTTCAAACAAACTTCAAAGGAAAGCCAAGACCAGGTTTTGCAGCAGCAGTGGAGGTACTGCAGCTCATTTTCCCATCAGTCCGTGTCTTACATCCCTACACTCTGCTGCATAAATCCTCCTATTCCCCCTCTGTTATCACAGTCTCACCAACATGCACATAAAAATACATCGATAAACCCCACCACGCAGGGCCAGTAGTTTGTGTCTGCCTAGTCCTCATTTTCTAGGAAGCTTGTAGATAATTAATCTTGGGCTCTCTAGCTGAGTAAATGAGTTCGACAGTTGTTAGATGGGAGATGGATGGGCAGTCAGACAAGATGACCGCATCAGCATCATTTCTTTTGGAAACTTGGCCATAAAGGAAATAAACTGATGTAAGAAACTTGGTTGTTGCTGCTACATGGCAAGTCTATGAGAAATGAAAGTCGTTTGGACCTCAACATCGCTCAGTTGCTTGAATGAAGAAAGTTGATGGTCTTGCAGCTGTGGTCCTTCTCATAAAATTCCCTCCACTCTTAGCAGTAGTTGGTAAATTGATCAGAGGTGCTGAAGAGACCAGTCTCATGTCATGCTCCTTATCCTAAGCAGGGCTGATGGAGCAATCTGAGCCAAAAGAGGAGCGCCTCATCCAGTTAGTGTAAGTACTGGAGGATCATTATGGTAAATGACAACAGCCTGTAATTCCCTTCAGTTCCCTACCAATACTGTTGATTATTAGTTGTGTAGGGCCAAATGTGTTAGCTTCACTGCCTTCTAATACCACCATATTTTCAGAACGCTTCAGTGCTGCATATGGGATTGTGATGACTTGCAAACTTCTGTAAACAGGTAGTTTGTAGTTCTCTGATGCTTTCAATAACTTCATTAATCTTGGAAACTTTAATGATAGTTATTTATGGGGACTGTTTGCAAAGGCAGCTTGGATTGAGCAGAACGTGTGTTGGAGATGCAGTCCCTGTGTGCGTGGTGTGCATTTGCATTGAGTCAAACTGAGGTGGGAATGGTGCCAATTACAAATTTGCTTCTTTTTGCAGGGTGATCAGACAGCACTGCACCGGGCTTCTGTCGTAGGGAACACCGATGTTATAGCAACTCTGATTCAGGAGGGGTGTGCTTTGGACAGACAAGACAAGGTAACAGGCAAAAGCGAAGCCCTGTGGGATGGCAGCCTTGCCAGACAGTAATGTTACGGTCTCAGAGAGAAAGTTATGGTTTATACTCCTAAGTAAGTATCTGATGCTTTGAAAGTAATTGGAACAGTTACATTGAAAAAAAGGTGTACCATCTCTTTAATATAAATTACTGATTTAGTTACTTTTTAATATCAGGCTGATAGTTTTTGATTTAAGAGTCTGGTCCCAGCTCACTGAGGGAGGAATTAAAGCAATGTACAACCATACTACGCCCTAAGCAAAACACTGCACAGTTTCCTTGATTATCCCAGAAACTGAGAATCCCAGGCTATAAATTTAGTTTGGGAGTAAATAGAACTAATTCCAAGTTCTAAACAAAAGAAATAATAATATTTTTAGTCTCTTCTAAAAATAAAATAGAAAATAAGCTAGAAGGAAAGGAAAATGTTTCATTTTTTAAGTGACCCCATGGGTTGTGCAGCTGATGCATTCTGAATGTAATATTATTCTGCGTGTGGACACATTGCACTAACCTTCTCCTCTTGGTGTGTGCTCTTCAGGACTGCTCTTCATGAAGCTTGTTGGCATGGATTCAGTCAGTCTGCCAAAGTGCTCGTTAAAGCAGGAGCTAACGTTCTTGCCAAGAACAAGGTGAGACCCATGCAGGAGGAGCTTTCAGTTCTTGTGTAACATGGCTGATTGTCAGCACTGGAGATTTCTGGCCATGGCATTTCTCAGCAGGTGGGGGACCAGCTCCTAGTTGGATTTTTTCTTCTTTTTTTGCATTTGTTACACCGGAATAGTTCCTCCACAGGCATTAGGAAATTCATATTTTCACAGCTGATTCAGGAGGAACTCAATAGCGCGTTGAATGATACATTCATTATGGCTGAGAAGCACTGCAATTCCTGTGGAAATCTCTGCGGTGCTCTAATTTATAGCGAGTGCATTCATTGTGATTGGTGTGATTTAAAATTAACATGAATTATACTAATGGGAAAATGACCTTCAAAATCCATTTTTTTAGGAATTAAACAGCCAAACGAATGTGAGCCACAGAAGGAAAAAATAGTGCATCTTTTGTTAGAAAGTTCTTCCATTAATGTAGGCTCTCACCAAAATCTTGTAATGAACCTGGATTATCTTCCTTTTGGTATTTATAATACCTTGAGAGCAGTTTAGAGGAAAGAAGAACAAAGCCAGGGAGTTTAGTTCCACTGTAATGGTAACACCTGTGGGAGACTTGTCTTCAATCCACTAATTAAACGTTAATGGAATAGTCTAGGAAATGGTGGTAGCAGCCTATGGTGTGAGCCTCATGAGTTAGTGTTTGGACCGCTGCACTGATGGGTCAGTCAGGTCACAGGGTTAGCACTGACCCTTCATTACAAGCAAGAGAGCTCTGGGATGGCTTTATGGGATCTCTAAGAATTTTTTGGTAAACGTGACTCTAAAATGACAACTGAAAGGGTCTAGCAAAGAAAAAGAAGGGGGACAGCTGGCAAAAGTCCAAGATTTGGAGTAAAAAGGCACATTGCCTGGGCATGGTGTTTCCGTATGTACATGTGTGCATACATGCAGTATATATGCGTATGTTTGTACAATTGTGGTCACTTTGTGGTCTGTAGTTACCTCATCTTTGATATTCTTTTATGTGTATTCCTTCTTTTATAGTGTTCCAATTTCCTATTTTTATTTTCTGTAATTGTTTTTTGCTGTAATGTTCACCCAGATTTGTATCAGAGGTACTTTAGACAACTTCCCATGCTTACATGTAACAGATGATAGTGCTTGATGTTATAGTCCTGTGGACCATTATACTCCATATGGCCGTGTATATGCGTACACTTATGTACAAAGATGTGGGCTTAAGATGCAAGTTTGGTTATCCTGCAAACTTGGATGCCTCAGGGTATTAGAAGATTTAGCTTACAATACAGTGTAAAAGTGAAAGTATGTGCCCAGAGTAGCTCAGCAAGGCTGATGTCTGAAATATGACTGGCAGACTTTAATATTATGTGAGCAGCTCCTGCTCTGGTCTTTGATGTCTTGCCCGCCCAGTCCTCTCCCTTTGTATTTCACCGTTTGGGTGGTTTTTAATGGACAGGATCTTTTCTCGGGAGCTGCTGAAAAATGTGGAATGTGCATGCTTACACACATGCGTGTGCTTTTACCCCTTTTGCTTTCGAGAAAAAATGATGAATTTAATTCTGCTTAATTCCAAAATGGTTTCTGTGGTTTCTCAGCTTTTTATGTTACTGACAACAAGGCATAATCTTTCTGATAGCTTTTCTGGTAGCCAGGGCTGAGTGCCATGTGCAGGAGCAACCTACGGGCCGTTGACTTGTACATAGGCATCGGCTGGATGGGGCAGATACGGGCTGCTAGATTTACCAAACCCTGCTGAGCAGCAGAAGATGGGAGATTTGACTGTATATTTTCTGTAACTCCTGGTTAATATCTCCTGGGACTGCTTAGGGAACACTTGTATGGATACACTTCTTGCAGCACAGTACCTTGAGCACAGTATATAAAGAGCAATGCAATTGGAGATGGCTTCTGTATGAAGTGAAATGCGGAGGCCAAACAGGAGACCTGGGATTTTAAAGGCAAGTCAAGCAGGAATTTGAGGAATGGGATAATGTGTGGGTAAACCACCTGGGTAGCCATATTCCTCCTGAGCAGCAATCACCCTGGAGATGCAGTTTATTTTCAGTCAAATTGGCTTAATAAAAGCTCTTCCGCTGTGGTAGATCATCACATGAGATCACTTGCAGCTTTCTTTTTAGATCTCAGTCTGTACATTTCAGTGAAGATTCAGTAGACCAGTGAAGACCCCCAGATCAGTACAACTCGGACCCACTGTCCCTCTCACAGAAGCTGGTGTGAGATCTGTCACCCCATGGGAGATGAGGCAGATAAGCCTGTGCTGTGAGCCCTGACCCCAGGCACCAACACTGTCACTTCTCCCAGCATTGAGGTCCTCACCCATCGCCGGCCGCACACGACCTCTCTGTCTTCCCACCAGGGCTGACCTTCCAAACAGCAAATGATGAAGACATTGCTGAGGCTTTTTGGAGATAAACCCAGAAGGGAAAAAATTGATGCTTAAATGCAGTTTGGCTGAGAAAGAGAGAGACTACATTCAGGCCTGAAATAGTCCGTAATGTGGAACTGAAAATATAAGACCACATCTAAGAGATGGCCTTTTGTAATTCAAACCCTGCAGCTTTGATCTGTGTCTTAAAAGCATGGGGAACAAATTAAAGCACATAATCAAGGTGAACAGGCAGCCTAGTAAGCATGGGAAACCTTTTTACTTGAGCTGATTTCATTTCTAGCTCGCAAGAGCCAAAAACCCCAAACATTTTCAGCCCAACAAAAGCCAAATGCTGCCAGAAAAACTTGTCAGACCGATAAAATCCTTCACAGACTTAGAAAAACAAGCAAACTCTTTGATTTCTCTCTTTAAAAACTGCATGTTTGCTTCGTCGAAGAACCTTAGCATGTGGTTCTTTGGGCTTTGGGTGGCTTTTTTTTTTCCCTTCTCATCTTGGCTGGACACTGGTATGCTTTCTGAACATTGAAGCTTCTCAATAGCCTGAAATCTGCATCCTGCCCTGTGAGAGCACCTACAGACCCAGACAGAGTTGGGGCTGGTTTGTGTTACAATCATAAGGAAACAGAAATCATTGTGACCCTCATCTGCCTAACACCCTGCAGCAGTCGTGGCTGGTTTTGCTTGAGATCAGAGATGCTGTGCTATGGCAGCATGTTTCCTTGTATGTGTGCATGGGAGAAACACAAACCACAAGAATTATATTTCTTTAAATGAAATACTTGATAGTGCTGTTTGATATTAATGAACCAGACAGTTGCTAGAGTCTTTGCTTCCTGTGAACAGACTTGAGCAATGCAGGTATCATTAGACTGTCCAATTTTTGCCTTTACGATATCCCAGATACTTAATTTCTAGGCTGAAGAGGGTATTTCAGTCTCCAGGTTCATTCAGCTCATATCTTTGGGAAAATAACAACAACAGTTTCCTACCCCTGGGTGGATCTTCTTGTGGGAAGACCTGTGAGGTTTTATTTTTTAATGCTTATGTCCAATTTCTAAATACAGCTTTTATATTTTCCTGTATTTCTCTAAGGCAGGTAACACACCTCTTCACCTGGCCTGCCAGAATAGCCATTCTCAGAGTACTCGTGTTTTGTTACTTGGAGGATCTCGAGCAGACCTCAAAAATAATGTGAGTTTTGAAAAGAGTGTGTTCATTTTTCTGTGCCTTTGTTTTAGCTATATTGTTTGTACTTGTAGAAATACTCAGAAATGCCTTAAACTGTGATTTTTATTATAAATGCTATTTAAAAAAACCCACTAACAATGCATACATTGTGTACAGGAATGCTTTTGCTAGGACTGAGTGATTCGCTACTTGTACCCATTTCTTGAGTGGGGATGGAGGGAACCAAAGGGGGTTTTGCTGTTGTTCAGATGGAGGCAGCTGGTCCTTTGCTGCTTTTTTGGGGTGTCCATGGCCTGACCCATGCTATTCTGCTAAAGGGCTCCTCTCTCACAAAGATGGAAATCTTAAAGGGGTTTTGTGCCAGAGCAGGGAAAGCCTTTAGACCTGCTGTCATGGAGACAGATAATGTATACTGTGTGTCGGTCTGTCAAGTGAGGTGGATTCAAGGTGACTTCAATTGCAGACAGCTTTCCTCCTATTTTATAATGACTCTGGCATGACAAAGGACAATAAATCTACAAAAGGAAGACAGATATTTTTGTCCCTGCTCAATAACAAGGTGGGCAGAGGCACACAGAAATGGAAACCCGTGGGGCTCTGCACCCAGTCCCAGCTGTGCATGTGCTGCCCCTCATGGGGACGCTGCTCTGGCCCCCACTCTGTGTGTTTTCTTCATTATGTGCAACACTGGGTTGAGTTTCAGAATCACATTGGTTTGTGGTTCAGAAGAATGGATTTAGTGTAAAAATGTAAATCAGGTTTTGTAGTGCAGTAAACCAGCATTTTATAATTGCAGTATTTCCCTGTCAGTAGTTAAAGAATTCATACCCCTACCTTGCCTGACCCCAGCTCTTGCTGAACCTTCCCCCCCACGATAGTAGATTTTGAACTGCAGAGAAGACAGCATTGCTGTTCAGTGGAGGTGTGTGGCATTTACTGCTCTCTTTGGTTTAATAATATTTCATCCGTGAACACCATAAGTGCAAGCTTTCTTACTGTGATTACATGCTCAGAGCTTTTTTTCTGTTTGCAGGCAGGAGATACCTGTCTGCATGTGGCTGCTCGTTATAATCACTTGCCCATCGTTAGGGTGCTGCTCAGTGCTTTCTGTTCTGTCCATGAAAAGAACCAGGTCAGTGCATGAACCTCATTGCGACTCTGCACCCCCTGCTTACGGCTAGTTGTTGGGAAGAGGGATTCCTACCCAAGGAATCCTGTTTCACTCTGTTTCACTGTACCACCAAATGCCTGAGCTTTTAAGAACAGCCTTAAAGTAATGGCATATCAGTGGTTTATTATTTTGCCATCGTGCTTGCATCATTTCTTTAAAGCATTGCTTATTTATGAGGTTCTGCAATCATATGTTGTAGAAAGGGGGTTTGGGACAGGAGTAGTAGCATAGGGTTGGGAGTTGGTGCTCCTGGGTCCTTACCAGTTCTGTGCAGAATGGGACTGGGCAAGAGACTCGGTCATTTTATGGGGCCTCATTTTGTCCTCTGTAACTAGGATTTAATGATCCCATGGCCATTCCAGAGACATTGTAAAGCAGAACTCACCAATGTTCAGATGCTACAAAAGTTCAAATTCCTCGGGAATACTTTGCTGCATTTTGCAGTAGGGGGAATTAAAAGGACATAAAAGTGGAAAAAAAAAAGTATGCTTTAAATTCAAAATAATGATCAGTCTAACCTAGGATTGATCATCCATAGTTGTTCTATAGAGAAGTAATTGATTGCTGTACCCATAGCATAGCCTAATTGGGTGGTAGAAGGAAATATATTTAGTACATTAAAATGTGTTAAATCTGCTAAATAAACAGATTATGTGGTGCTTAACCACATCGTCTCATGTTCCTGGGAAATTTTCCCTGCATAGTTGAAGATCATAAAGATGTGTTCTGATCTGTACATGTAATCTTGTTTCTTAGATATGAGATATTACAAGAAACAAAATGGTTTTCAGCATGTTAAATTTACTACATACTTTTATTTGGAAATGAGTTTTTTAACTTGCAAAATGAGCTACTGAATATTAAGATTAACTGGTGTGAATCTGGCCCAGACAGACACCCCTTTCCTTCGTTCCCCAGCACCACCCAAAGTTGTTCTGTATTTGCACATATGACAATTTTATTTATGAATACACCTTATCCAAGTTAGCAACAAACAATAGATTTCCACTAGTCTTGAGGAGATAGAGTTTTCTGAAGGCAAAATGCAAGGCAAAGGGGACAGCTGGGCATTATATACATGTATCCGGTCTCCCTTGAACAGCTGCTGGCTCTGTTACCGGTGCCTGAATCTGATCACAGCTGTCTTCACCTCACTGCACCGGGACAAGGGCAGGGCAGTGTGTTAGTGCAGGACCCGCATCGCCTTCTGGCTTTGGTCCAAAACCTGTTTTTCTTGGGGAATCTCATGAAGAGAACACCAACCATCTCGCTGCTGGTACTTATCTGATTATTTTTGAGTAATGCGATATATGACCACCTGCACACCAAATAATCAAACCTGGAGAAAAAAAAAAAAGAGAGAAGGTTGTGGTGGGAAAACCAGTTCTGCCCTCAGATGTCGTATGCATTTGCTGGTGGCAGAGCTGGGCTGTCTCCAAGCTGTGTCATGTGTCACTTGGTTGAGTTAGACCAGATCACCAGCACCCTGGCTGCATTTCTGAAAACCAGGCTGAAGCAGCTCCTTGCCTCCTCCTGTCTCCTTCTTCCCAACTCTGCTTTTTTTATTGTTGCACCAGTTAAATGTAGGTCTTTTGACCTCTGAGCATCTTTCAGGAAGGTATGATTTCTTCAGGGTGAGACCCAAGGACTTGTGTTACATGGTTGTTTTCTGCTTTCTGACTTGCAGGCAGGGGATACTGCGCTCCATGTAGCTGCTGCTCTAAACCACAGGAAGGTGGTTAAGCTGTTGCTGGAGGCAGGGGCTGATGCATCTGTGGTCAACAATGTAAGCAGGACGTGGAGTTTCTTTGGTATTTTGTATTAATGCAGACTCTCTTCATGTTGATATAAAATATTTGGGTGTTAGAGCTCAATTAAATCTGGGTAAATGAAAGCGGTTAGTCAGTTTACTCTTGTGCACAGAGCATGTGCTAACCTTGGGTGGAGAAATTCCACATTTCCAGTAGCTTGTGTTTTGAAGGAAATGCCGTTTTCTTTTTCCTCTCAGGCAGGTCAGACCCCTTTAGAGGTTGCCAGACAGCACAATAACCCTGAGGTTGCGCTCCTCCTTACTAAAGCATCACAGGTACGTTACAAATCTCTCCCCAGCACACATATACACATGTAGCTGAGGCCTGTTAACCTTGAGAGGCCACATCCCCTGGTCCTTAGTCTTCTGCTGCGAAAGGCGCCTGTGTTTCTGCTGGCCTTGTGTGCTGGCCTTCGGTCTATCGATGTGGAGCCTTTCAGCCCCCGAGCCCAGCAAGGTGTGCAGATGAAGCCTCAGCATGAAGCGCTGCCAGAGGTCCCGCTGTCCTTGCTGGCAGAGGATGGAGCAGCCAGAGGCACTTGTTCCCTGTGGTGGCCCAGGGGTTAGAAAGCTGCCCTGTACCCAAGAGCTCCCGGGTTGTGTCACTCTGCTGCCTGCCTCAGACATGTCCCATCTCCAAGACGGTTGCTTGCCCTTGCAGATGCTTTGAAAAGGGGACAGAATGTCCTGTTTGTACTCTGCTGCTGTGTGTGAAGTGCTACAGTGCTCTTCAGGCCAGAAGGCACGTGGCAGAGCTCTGCATTCTGGTATGAGACCAGGTGTGATCCCTGCTCCTCCTTGTCACCTCTGTGTGAGAGGGTCTGGGCTTGGCTTGGCAACCAGCCTGAGGACAGGGGGAAGCACTTGCCCCTCCAGGGTACAGCAAAGTGCCCTGATGCACTTAGCTCTCTGGTGGCGTTTTTTCACAACTATAAACACCCACATTGCTCGGCCCATCAGCGTCCATCTGGCAGTGCTCTCTCCTTGCCACCGCCTTTTAATAGAGCAGACTTTTTTCACCTCTACTACATTTTTAGAGCGTGACATCACTGAGTAACAGTGTGGTTTGCCTTCAGGTCTCACGCTTTAACCGCGGAAGAAGCCTGAGGAAGAAGAGAGAGAAGCTGAAGGAGGAAAGACGAGCTCAGTCAGTACCACGGGATGAAGCAGTACAGAGCAAGGTACAGCCCAGCATTACCAGCTGCCTCTGCTGTGAGGAGGGAGTGTAAATAAAACCCATCAGGACTACATCTATTTGGAGCCATCACTTGTGCATGACCACAGCAGCTGTCTGAGGCAGTCTGTCGTACTTTGCTCACTCATGTGTGCAGAGCAGCTTAAAACTGGGAAATTGAAGAAGAGGCACCTTTTTCCCATCTCTGCAACTGCTCTGAACTCCCTGTCTTTGCCTCAAGCAGGGCAGCGTCTCAGCTGCTGACGACACACCAAGCAGCGACCAGCCACCACAGCGGAAGGGCGATCTGAAGGATGAACCCCGGTCAACCTCACCAGATCCCAAAGGGAAGAAGAGCAAGAAGAAAAAGCCAAAGGAAAAGGTATCAGTAGATTTAAAACAGCAGAGTGAGAAGGGATAGTTGTTGAGCAGTAGTACAGGTGTCCCTTCGGTGTGTTGGTGAGTCAGGGCAGCATCCCCGACGTGCTCATGGGGCAGAGGCAGTCTTCACACGAAACTGATTTCTGGTGGGGAAATTCTGCTTTTGATGGTCACGTGTACCAGATTTGTGCGGAAATCTGTTCATTGTGCTGATATACACCAAGGTTGTGGCCAGCCACTGCATCTGGATTGGTGTTTTAGAATAGAATCATAGAATCATTTAGGTTGGAAAAGACTTTTAAGACCATCGCGTCCAACTGTTAATCTAACACTGCCAAGTCCACCACTAAACCACGTCCCTAAGCACCACATCTACATGTCTTTTAAGTACCGCCAGAGATGGTGACTGAACCACTTTCCTGGGCAGCCTGTTCCAATGCTTGACAACCCTTTCGGTGAAGAAGTTTTTCCTAATATCCAATCCAAACCTCTTGCAGCACAACTTGAGGCCATTTCCTCTTGTCCTATCACTTGTTACTTGGGAGAAGAGACCGACACCCACTTTGCTACAACCTCCTTTCAGGTAGTTGTACAGAGTGATGCGGTCTCCCCACAGCCTGCTTTTCTCCAGGCTAAACAACCCCAGTTCCCTCAGCCACTCCTCATACGACTTGTGCTCCAGACCCTTCCCCAGCTTCGTTGTTCTTCTTTGGACACACACCAGCACCTCAATGTCCTTCTTGTGGTGAGGGGCCCAAAACTGAACACAGTATTCCAGGTGTGGCCTCACCAGTGCTGAGTATGGGGGGACAGTCACTTCCCTAGTCCTGCTGGCCACACTATCTCTGATACCAGCCAGGATGCTGTTGGTGACTTGGGCACACTGCTGGCTCATGTTCAGCTGGCTGTTGACCAGCACCCCCAGGTCCTTTTCTGACAGGCAGCTTTCCACCACTCTGCCCCGAGCCTGTAACGTTGCATGGGGTTGTTGTGACCCGAGCACAGGACCTGGTACTGAGCCTTGTTGAACCTCATCCAGTTGGCTTTGGCCCATTGGTCCAGCCTGTCCAGATCCCTCTGTAGAGCCTTCCTACCCTCAAGCACATCAACACTGCCACCTAACTTGGTGTCATCTGCAAACTTGCTGATGGTACACTTGATCCCCTCATCCAGATCATTGATAAAGATGTTAAACAGAAGTGGCCCCAGTACTGAGCCCTGGGGAACATCACTTGTGACTGGCCACCAACTGGATTTAACTCCATTCACCACAACTCTTTGGCCCAGCCATCCAGCCTTTTTTTTACCCAGCAAAGAGTACACTCGTCCAAGCCATGAGCAGCCAGTTTTACATAGTTTTTTGCTGTAATTGTCACAATGGATTTGTCCCATTCCCACCAGGAATAGTTTACCAGGGGGCTCATAAATAGGGAAAACATTGTGTGTATTTTGCGCAGGTTTCAGCACTCTCGGACCCCATCTCCCCAGCTGATCAGCAGACACTCCCTCGGCAAAACGTGCCTAAGCGCCGAAGTAAACATCACTGCTCCTCGCCGCCTCCTCCCCACGAGGTCCGAGCCTACCAGCTCTACACGCTCTACCGAGGAAAGGATGGGAAGGTGATGCAGGTGAGCTGGCCATGGCCCTTGTGGAGGGAGACACAGGCAGCAGCCCTTGGAGTTGGGGCAGTGAGCTAACGAACAGAAAACACACTCCATTTACTGCACTCTCAGGGGTATGAAGTCACAACTGTGGGTTTGTTTTCCTTGTTTGGGATTCAGCTGCATTTTGGCATGAAGTCTGGGAAGAGTAAGCTGGTTTTATGTATGCTAAGGAAGACAACTAGTTTTGATCTGCAAAGTGTTTTCTTTTTGGAGATAGAGGCAGGAGCTGTACAGAAATTGGTTCACCAATAAACCTGGAGTTACCAGCTCATGTGCCTTTATTCCAGTTCAGAGACTGACATTTTGCTCATTTTATTATGCGAGTATTTAAGATATATTAAACAACTATTATATTTAAGATATATTAAACAACTAAACTGTTGTTTTCTTAATAGCTGGAGGTCAATCCTTTCATTTCCTTAGCTTCTGATATCCATCCACCAGCTCTCCTCGGCCCCTTGTTGTAGTTAGGAAATTCAGTAGATTGTGAAGATCACTCAAGTCAGACTTCAGAGGTTTTACTGGCCATCTTTTCCAGTATCTTGCTTTCTAACGCTAGGGAAATTTCCAGCCAGGAGCACTATGGGATTACCCTAACAGCAGACATCAGGAAGGATGGAGGACCTTTCATGTGTTAAAAGGAGTATCTCCTTGCCTTTAGGTCTGATGGGAGGAGGATGGGCCAGTAGGAAGGACTTGGGCAGCAGAGAGAAAAGTGCAGAGAGCAGATAGGATTTGTATACAAAGCTAATCTATTCACAAAGAGTAGCTTAGTAGAGCTAGGCTCCCTTATAGTATTTCCTGAAATACATGACACTGCTTCTTTTTTGCTCATCTGTCTTCTTTCATGCCATCAGGCCCTGAATAGCAACCAGAATTTCTTAAGTACATGTATTTCTCTGCAAACCACCCACCTTCCCCTGCCAAGGGAATGACCCCAGTTTGTGAAACAGTACCGCAGGGCCAAAGGAAAGAGGGGGGCTCCTCTGCAGACAGATTCAGCTGCTGCATTGGGCTCCTGACTCACCCCCAAATGAGCCACTTTCTGCCTGTGGGCTGCAGAGGAAGCCAATGAGGATTGGCTCTCCTTGTTTAAGGGAGCCTTTTGTGACCGTCTCCCTGAGAGATTTCAGCGTGGTCAGTGCAGCTCCCCTTGCAGAGGAGTGGTGGGGTGGTGCCACACAAGTCGAAGGAAGGCAGCGGTGTGCAAAGCACATAAGGGTTGGCTGAATGCCAGCAGGGTAAAGGCAGACAGGAGCAGTGAGACCTTGCTATATAGTACAGCGAGCATATTGTTGCCATTATGTTAAAAAACAAATGCACACAAAACAACACACACCCACAAAATCAGATTTTTTTGTTCAATTCAGAATTACAGCATTGAGACATGGGGTATAGCCCTGTAATGTGGTGTCCCCTCGTACAGCACACAGCACCACGGCATACGTGATCCAAGCTCATTGTGCTTGTAGCCCCAGCAAAATCAACACTGCTTTGTGTTAGGATGTGTCCATATAAATCAGACCAATCCTTTTCTAGTCTGTGCTTTCCCAACTAATAGTGTGTTTACTGAGCTACTGTACAATGTTATCAAGAGGGTGAGATACAGTACATGGTACAGAAGAGTTCAAGACTGACTCAAGGAGGCTGTGATAATGTTCCAAGTGTGCTAAGAGGACAGCGGGATGTAATAGCAAGTAAATGTATTACTCCTTTCAGGCACCGATAAATGGATGTCGTTGTGAGCCCCTGATAAGTAAACTGGAGAATCAGCTGGAGGCAACAGTGGAAGAGATAAAAGCTGAGTTTGGGACAGTACAAGATAAGATGAATGTTAAGCTGGGCCAGATGGAAAGCAAAACTCAGCATCAAGTAAGAATATGACCCGGAGGTCTGCTTGTCCATATAACTCTTAGAAACATATCCTAAGCTTAATGAATATTTTCATTGTCGTGATTCATTTATTGCTGCTTGTGTTGTAAAAACGAACCTGAAATTTAATACTCAAAACCAGGGAACTGTGACCTTCCACAGGGATCTAACATTGGAAACTAGAGTCTTGAGAAAAACACATTTAATGTGTTAAGTGGCTTCAGGTGCTTCTTTAGACAATAGATCTAAACTGCTTGAGGCCCTAAGAGGGAAACTTAAAAGACAGAAGGCAGTCCTACAGCTGGTCTGTTCATAATTGTAAAAATCCCTCTTACTGAATTCTGTTTGCACTGAGATTCAAGATCCTCTAAATTGTTTTTTATTTTTAATGTAATTGTTATTCATTGGTAATTTTGTGATTGAACCTTTTTGCAAGCTACATCGGCTTGCAGTTGGCAGCATTTCGAGCAATGAAGACCAAAAGACAGACTGTACTTTGACTTTCAAGGTTCACAGATGGGGGCTTTGTGTGGTTTTTAACATTATCATCTCAGATGAATTGTGGTTTTTTTCCACAGCTCCGTGTTTTAGACAAGCTTATGGCTGAACGGCTGTCCGCAGAGAGAACAGAGTGCCTTCACCGCCTGCAGCAGCACACTGAGCTGGAAAAAAATGAGGGGGAGAAACGGCAGGTAGGGCTTGAAACAGCTACTCCCTGTTAGCTCACATGGATCAGCTCAAGAGCTTCATTCCAGCAGGCAGAGAGTATTGGAGATTTTTCTCATCTGTTGAAACAGGCAAAAGATCTTCACATACCAAATTATTCCTATCCACCACCTTCATCTCTAAACCAAATTTAGAGCTTTTGCAGTAGAAATGGGGAATGTGAAGTCTAGTCCCATGGTCATAATTTAATTTGGTGGGTCTGAAGTGTGGGCTCTATAACAGAGTGTATTTTTTCTAACATAGTGCTTTGCAAAAATTCTGACCATAGAATTTTTAGCAGCTGTGCTTTCAGCTTTTACTTCATTAAAGGACGTCTGCAGGAACATCTGCATATAGGAATAAGGCTAACATCGGTGTTGTTCCTTTTACTGCTCATGCATGCTGCAGGAACATCTGCATATAGGAATAAGGGCTGACATCGATGTTGTTCCTTTTACTGCTCATCCATTTGGTTGCATGCACAGAGAATCTCTCCCTTCTTCTCTGTCTGATCTTTTTTTTCCCCATGTATTAAAAGGGTGCAGTTCCTCCCTCTGACTTTGGCAACAATGCACCATCTCCAAGCTGTGTATTACTGCCAGTAGGCAAGTTCTTTTTGTACGCTTGCTTAACCAGCATGACAAGAATAACTGTTCCCATAGAGTTCCAGCTCTTGCCCTTCTAGCTTCTGCAAAAACTCACCATTAAAACATGCTAAGAAATTTGTGTTTTTCCATTCACACGGGTAAATTTAAAATGCAATTAATTTTTTTATTATTGGTATTCTTCTAAGAACTGAGAAATATACTTTGTGCTAGTAAAATGTAATGACTTTTTGTAAGAGCATTCCAAATCCTTATTAAAAGACTGGCAGCTGTGATAATCCCAGTGTAAGCTACTGATCACGATACTTCAGTCTAGCATCCAGAAAACATTTTCCTCCAAAGAAAAGTATTTCTCAAACTAAGGCAGCTTTAGTTTTTATTTTGTAGTAGGAGACATAGGTATTATATTGGCTTTTGAATGTCTAGGCTTGTGCTCCATCTCTTTGTAATCTCCCTTTAAGAAACGAGATACCGGAGCGATACATCAGGTGAGCTGAAATTACCATTAAGTGATACCAGCTGTTCCTGTTCTCGTGAGTCTAATGGAAGCTACTGGAAAAACTGAGTTGGGCTTTACTGAATGCATGGACTAAGTGTCCATGTGCGTAGGAGGGCCTGGCCTAAATTCATGATATCATGTGAACAAGAGAGTAAAAGAACTGCTCATATTTAAAATTATTACGGGCAAATGCCTCTGCAGCTGACGCTTAGTAAGCACCTTTGTAATTTGAAAGTTGTTAGTAATTTATCATTTAGTGTTGGATTCATCTTTATCACCAAATAAACAGAGGAGCAGAGGTCGGTAATAGTGTCAAGCTGTGTCCCAGAAGTGTCTAATTTGAATTTCACTCTTAAAAAAAAGGCTACATGTGATGTTCCTTGCACTTAGAATGCACCACTGACTGTATGATTAAACAAGTCAGCCTTGATCAGAGGATTTAGAGCTGCATTTGAAGTACCACTTTCAAATCTAAGAGGTGTGTTAGTTTGGACTAAAGAGGGTGCCCTTCAGTAGCTAATGTATAGTTCTTCATCTTTTCTGATGTGCAGTCCTCTAAATAGTCCCAGTGGCAGCATGCATACCTGTACAGAGACTCTAAGCTACAGCCTTGCTTCTCTTTGTCACTGCCACATGTCCTCAGCAGCCCAGGAACCATAGGATCTAATCATAGGATCGTCTCCTTTATGTCTCTTTCTTATAGATTTCCTTGGTCGATGAGTTGAAGACTTGGTGCATGTTGAAGATTCAGAATCTGGAGCTGAAGCTTTCTGGAGATTCCAGGTCATCAAGACCAAAATCAACTTTGTCCACTTGTGAGTCTCTCACTGAGACCCTGGATACCGAGAACAACCCCCACAGTGCCAAGGACTGTAAAGCCAACCAGCCTGTGCTGCAGGCAGAGGGCTCCCACCAGCATTCCTGTATCACGCTGCCAAACAGCCTCTTGGAAGATGGAGGAAGGAGCAGAGTCCAGATGCCAGAACAGAGCTTTGGGCAACATTTTTGCATTCAACAGGATGGTGCATCAGGTGCAACCTTGTCAGGTACTTAGATGTCATATTCATTCAAAGGCAAGCTAATTAACTGAGGGATACTTGTATTAATGCCACAGATATTAATTCTGGCTGTGTGCTTTCCCCCATCCGTATGCATAATGTCTTGGGATTAGAATGCATTTCAAGGGAGCCTCTCAGAATATTTCAAGACACAGTTGGGTGGAACTCCAGTGGTTCTTCCTGATGCTTCCATGTCACTGTGTCTTTGAAGCCAAGTCCTTTGATGTTCTGAATAACTCTGTTTTCTGAAATTTCTCCAGCTTCCCAGTCAGAATTGCTCCCACCCCACTGTCCATCAGGAAGGTGTGCACATTATCCAAAGTTGACTGAAGAAGTGTATGGTATTTAGTGCTTTTCAGATGTATGGAACCTATAATGACAGGGTGCAAGGATGTGAACTTAAACTACTCATTTCCCTTGTTAATATTCAAACTGCAAGGATCTAGAATAAACCTCTCACTTTCCCTCTTTCCTTGAACCAAAGTCTGTTTAATTATTAGTTCATTTGACAAGAACAAAAATAGCTTAGAACCTTCAAGCCTATTCCCAGATCACGGCCACCCAAAGATATGGAAGACCTTGGTCCAAGCCATCTCTCTGTGCTTGGCCAGGGAAGATTTTGAGGAAAAAAGAAACAAGCAGAATGCCCAGGTCTCCACAGCTAAGGAGAGAGCTATCAAAGCCCTGGGCTTCTGAAAAATACATTGTATGTGCCCCTCCAAACACTATGTAAAGAGAACAGACATGGACATGGATACCCCAGACTAGAAAGGCAGAAGAGCACAGAGGAGATGTGGCAGTATGAGTGCGAGCTACTGCAATGAACCGTTCAGGAGCATCAAAATGTGTTACCTTTGCGAAATTAGTGGGGTTTAAGTTTTGTAGAAGCAGGGGGTTCATAAGTATCAACAGACATAAACTACTTTTGGAATCTACCTTGATCTTTGCTAAACGTCCTTTGTGCGATATCCTTTGATTGTTGTCAGCCTGCAGTCCCACAGCTGCAATGCAGTGTCTCTCTGCCTAAGCCAGGTTTTCTCTTTTAATGACTCTTACATCATTTGACTGTGAAGATGTGATAAAATAAGCCTCTACATAATGTGCATGCAGCATGGTACCATGGGAAACTGCATTATTCATCAAACAATGAGGATTTCTGAATGTGACATATACATATGTATATATTTTATTCTATAGGTACAGAGCAACAGTTAATCATTAGCGGACCAGTTTCTTCTGCCCCCGCTCAAGATGTCAGGCCAAAGGACAAAGCTGTTAGTGGCAGCACGTTCCACAGGTTGCAGCAGGACCTGCCCTCCTCTGAGCTTTCGGGCTCCAAATTAAGACACGTGAAGGTTCAAGCTACTTTGCAGCCCTTGACTGAACCAGCAAAGACTGAACCACAGAGTGGCTACTTCATTGACAAAGGAACTCAGACAAAGAAGTCCAGCAAAAGCGCACAGTCGAGGCACAAAGCTCTGCACCACACCGGGGCACATCAGAGCCAGGAGCAGCAGCCCCTGGCCCTGCCTGCGGGACAGCCGCCTGCCCCACTGCTCAGAGACACCTCCCAGGCCCTGGAGATAACCCAGTACTTCTTTGAGGCGGTTTCCACACAGATGGAGAAGTGGTATGAACGGAAGATAGAAGAAGCCCGGTGCCAAGCTAATCAGAAAGCGCAGCAAGACAAAGCTGCACTCAAGGAGCATATTAAAAGCTTAGAAGAGGAGCTCAGCAAATTAAGGACTAAAGTGCAGAAAGAGAGCTAGCATCTACCAAGCAGGTAAAGACAAGCACTGGGACTCATTTTGGAATCTGGAATACCACTAGATATATACATTTGTAGTGCCTGTTACATCCAAACAAAATGCTCTTCTTCAGGAGCAGAAATAACTTTGGAAACTCCAGAACTGAGGAGAATTCATATGCAAACTGTACTGATGACAATGAGATGCTGCAGATTAGATCCTTTCTTTGTTACTTCCAAGAGTCTGTTAAATATTGCACTCTCAATTTCCAGGTGCTGCTTGAAAACAAACTGTGTTAGAAACCAAAACTGCTTTCTGGAAAGGGAATTTCCTTATTTACACATAGGTCACGTGTGGGTAGAGGGTTCCACTGTATGCTACATGTAAACACGTGGTGGTACTAATACCGAAATAAATCTAGAGCTTCTGTTTGAGAGCTTTTGACAGAAATTCCTTAGTGATGAAGGGCTACTGCCACTATTTTAGATACTCCCCACAGTGTCTCTTTAATCAGTGGGGAGAATCTACAGCCCCAACTCAAATTCCAAGCCCACGCAGGTGCCAGGTGCAGGCTTCCAGCTGGGAGAGGCCAGGCTCCCACGGAGTAAGATGCTAAGGTGAGCCATCCTGTTAGGTACACAGGCTGTGGTTGCCACTTTGCTTTTTGTTTGTTTTTACATTATTGAAACAAACGCTAAATTAGATTTGTCTTTTTTTTTAATGGTGTCCTTGTTGCAAAGCTCCTTGTGGTTACACAGTTGGTGGGGCCATACTCAAGTAATCTGACTGAGAAGTTTTGTTTAGTCTGTGGGAGGCAAATATTTTCCCATAACCATGCTGTGCTTGTTAGGTATAATTTTTATATAAATCACTTTTCCTTCAAGCAGCAAATGGGTGAATACTACTGAAAAAGCTTGGAAAAGTCCTTTAGATAAAGAAGTGAAAGTTTGGTTCCCTGAACTCAGATGTTTCTTCTTCTGCAGAGTCAGGATTCTCTCCCAGATACTTTGTCCAGACTCTGTTCCTTTGTTTCTCTGAATGATTCCTCTCTCCTGTTTTTTCCCTTCGATCTCTAAAAAGGAGAGGCCGGGCCCTGGTGCGTCTGCAGGTCTTAGGACTGGTTTCACCAACAGTCTCACAAAATAGAACTCTAAAACATTTCAAAGTTTTTATGGATGTGTTTTCTTATAAAATCAAAACTTACAGTGACCCATGTCATTCAGGCTGACAGACTCCAAAAAAACCTTGCATCTGCATCCCTTTAGGGCTTCCTCATTAACCTCTGAGAAAGCTCCATCAGATTCTGTTAGAAAAGGAAGTTTACTTAACAGCTCATGATAGAACAATTGTTCAAAACCAGGATAGTACTGTTATGTCAAGGAGAAAGATATTTTTTCTGTACTGAGGAGCCCTAAAATCAATACAAAATATTTTACAGTATTGAGGACAACATTGAGTAATTATTGTTTTCATCTTCTTAGCAGAATGTATAAAGCAAAGACAGTTGTATTATATAACAATATTTTAAAAGTTCCTATTAATGCACTATCAGGACAAGAAAAAAGTGTATCTGCTGTTATGGAAATACAGTTAGTTTTACTGCTCCGACTTCTGTAGTCTAATATAGACACTTTCATATGTTTACAGTTTTGGTTAAGCTACTGTAGGAACGCAGAAGCATGCTATTTAAGTTTTGTATCATCTTGATAAAAGTTGAATGTTTTGCCAAGCAATTAAAACAAGTGTTGCTCAGAAGTCTGTGTGGCTCAAAAGTCTGTGGTGTAACGTTCTGTAGCCAGAGAAAATGGACACCATCCCCTCGCTTGACTCAGAAAATTGGACTTCAACTTCCAAGCTTTTGTGTTTGTGGCTATAAAACATGGAAACCAGGTCTGCCCTCTGTCCCAAGGGAGGCTGCAGGGACTGGCTGCCATTCGTTAGCTGATGCACGTGCCCACTGTTTCAGAAGTTACTGACACAGGGCCGCGGTGTGCAGCTGATCACACGCGTGCTCCTGAACTTGCACAAGTGCAAGGGGAACGGCAGGGCTCTGGCTGGAGCTGATCCACCTCACGCATGAACTGCTCTACCCAGACAGCCATTGGAGCAGTAATTTAAGACAATACCTTGGCTGCAGAGTACTGCTTGGAGGGGTTTTCTGAAGCCAACACGTACTGTAAAATAAAGGAAGGTGTTTTCTGCTGATACCTCTCTTCTCCCTCCTTCAAAACTACTAGAGTTGAAGGACTTCTTTACAAAATACCTGTATTATCTACCTTTCTCTGCAGCATGCACTATAGTCTGGCTTCTAGAGGAAATTTTATCTTGACAAGCCCACAGAGCAGTGGAGATGATGGGCAGCAGCACTCAGGAGGTCAACAGCTGTCCAGCTGTTGTCTCACAACAGCTCGTGAAGACCTAACTCCTGGATTATATGGCCACAACCTATAAACATACAAACTGGTGTCAAAGGAGTCATGCAGACTCAGGGCTGTGAAGGGAAAGCACTGCGATGAGGCAGCAAGGGAGGTCTCCTACCTGAGGAGCAGAAATCAAAGCACTGGCTGAAGGGAAGGGGAAAGCTGCATGTGAGAGAACAAGCCAACATTGATTACACTTTGTTCAGTCAAAATTCCTTTCTGAACAGCATTTTCTGATAAGATGGAAAATCAGTCCCCAACACGCTAATGTTCTGTCAGTGTCTTCTATGAGAAAATGTTAACAAAATGTAGATTTTTAACAAAATATTTAGACATACATATTTTTATTGACTGATTAGTAGCTCAAAGACTTCTGTGTATACAAACCTGAGCTCTTTAACAGCTGTAGTTGTTGCCTGAGCCACATCCTTTACTGCAAAGCTAAATAAAGGTCGTAGGAAAGGATCCTACAGTGACTTTCAGAGAAAGGTATAAGGAAAAAAAATATTAAAAATGCATTTTCTTGTTAAGCAGCATTTCTTTGCAAAACAGCTTTGCTGAAAGGTAGCTTTGAAAACCCTTTGTTTGGCTCTAGCAAGCAGCATACCTCCTGCTCCTGCATGGGGTCCTTCTTCCCTCCCTGTAGCCTGGAGGGGGAGGCAATATGGCCCTGTCCCTTCCTTTGTGCCAGTGGTGGCACTGACCGGACTTGCTGTGAGGCCGTACAGCTCACTCACTAACTCTGCAGGAAGCCCGCTCGGTGGCTCCGTGTGTGAAGTGGAACAGCAGGGCGTGGGAGGGAAGGGTTCCCCCATCTCTTGAAACTGCAACCTAAACGGCACGCAGCTCCTGGAGAGGTCAGGTATGCAGCTGCTGCTTGGCTATTTATTGAGAAAATCCCAGCCTCACCTTGGCATTTTTAAATTATACGGGGAAAAAGAAAGATTGCAATTCACAGGAAGGCAAGAAGAGCTGCAATCTAACAATTAAAAGTGGAGTAATATGACAACTGGGAAACCAGAACACAACATTTGGAGTTAGTATTTTCTAGCTGTAATTCTACTTTATACTGACTTTTAAATACTAACTTGAACGTACTTCCTGTTACCTTGTAGTAACCATTTCTGGGGCTAAAATCTCTCATTTTCACATACAAGGACCTCCCTTTTTAAGTTTTATTCAGCAACAACTGAAAATAATTTTCTTACAAATGTTTTATCATGCTTATTTGTTTTGGACCCATTTATTTATCCCAAATGCTTTTTTAACCCCAAATGTTGGTTCTCTAGAGAAAGAGCTGTTACCAGGATGAATGTTACCAGCCAACAGTTGCCACAATAAAAAACAGACAAAATTATCTGGTTTATGTTTATTTTCCACTTCCCTGCCATAACACTGCTGTTGTATTTTTTCTCTTCCCACAGCACATACTACATCATCCATTCAGTTTGTTAAAGTCCTTTGTGTCTGAGTGATTTCCACGTGGGAGGGTAACCTAACCAAGAAGAGAAGGGGGAACAAACAAAAAACCCATTGCGGTAGATTCTACCTTCAGACGTTACCAGGTTGTCAGCAAAGGATGCTTTTACAGCCACATTCTAGAAAAAAAACTGTGTATGCTCACAGGAGATGAAAGTCCATCTGTCAACAAAATTAAGATCAGGATTTTGCCAGTTTAAGTGTTCGTTGAAGTTCCTGAAGTTGCATGTTGCCTTGAGTAATCATCATTCTGATTGCATCCTGTAAAACAAAAATGGAATCAACTGAACGTCTGTGTGCAGCACGGGTTTTATGCAGGCACATGGCCTTCAATGCACCATAGCACACACAGTTCTTACCAGCACTGCTGTGATCTATTTCTTTGTGTGAAATAACACTTTTTAGTCATTGAGATGGTTAAAAACCAGGTGAATAAATGAACTAATTTTCTCCAATTCCTTAATTATATGTTTGGCAGCTAATTATATCTTTGCTTTAAAACTCAGTTTTCAACTGGATTCAAACTCCCAATAATGTTTTCTTTATGCCTCTTGGTCTACTGCCTTTGCAAGCAGGTAGTGACACCTGCACACAGGCATTATGAAGCCATGTATGTTCTGCAGAACAAGTGGGTATTTCTCTCAACATTATTTCTATCTAAATACTGTAATGCTTTGCCTGCATAATTCAGCCACCAATTCCTTGAGCACTGGTTAGAAAAAGGAAAAAACCCAGAAAGCAGAGGACGGGAGACATGGAAGAAGTATAAAGGTTTCTGCATTTCATATGTGCTTCCTATCCACAACCACCCAATGTGAATGAGTTCAGCTTGAATACAGTTGAAAATAAAGATTAAATTTTTCTGATTTGTAGCTTGAGTCATAGAAATCATAGAATCATTAAGGTTGGAAAAGACCTCAAGGATCAAGTCCAACCATCAACGCACATCACCTAACTCACTAAACCATGTCCCTAAGCACCACATCTACACGTTTCTTGACCCCCTCCAGGGATGGTGACTCCACCACTTCCCTGGGCAGCCTGTTCCAATGCCTCATCACTCTTTCAGTGAAGAAATTTTTTCTAATATCCAGCCTAAACCTTCCCTAGTGCAACTTGAGG